TTAGCTTTGTGAAAAGCAAAGCTGTCTTAGTGTGCCATTACTTCCTGGAAGTCCAGCATCCATGGGAAACCTGTGCTTCAATTAAACCCCAAGAAGATACTTTATGAGGGTCCAATTTTTACTTGAGAAAATTGTTAAAAATCTCAAACATTCTAAGGCAGAAAAACAGACACTTTTTAAAGCAAGGAATAAAATTACAGCACAGCACTTTTAAATCCACAATTACCATATTGGGGGTGGGGGAAGCTGCAAGGGAAAATGTTATCTAGGGAAAGATATCTTTGCCGTTTCACTCTGAATGGATCTAACTCAAAGTTCTTTTTTCTTATAAGAAACAACTGTCAGAGGTTTCTTTAAAAAGCCATGTGCTGTTATTCTTAAACACAAGTTTGTTGATGGAGTCCCTTGCAACTTTCAGTTATTTGTGATTTTATTCTGTGTGGTTGATCATGACCTACTAGAATTTTACATTATTTCCCATGGAATTGGTATAGCAAATTATATAAACACCTTTTATTCATGGGTCACTAAGATTATGCACAATAATAATCTTTGGAACTGTTCTAATTTACCATTTCCATCTGCTTGTTCTGCATGGGGTCTGTGTTTACATTCCAAAACATTAGTCTGCTATTGTAGCTAGCATGAGATGTTGCTAGCTCCAGGGTGCCAGTGACTTTTTAAGCAGGACAATATATTTAGTCTCTTTAAGTCTGCAGAAGGTTAGCCATGTTGCTGAATAGAAAACAAATTTGTATTCAGAACCAAATCCAGTAAGGCTTTTCAAACATTTGCAAACATACTTATATGGTTTTTTTTTAAAAAGGATATAGATTAGGCTGCAGCAATAAACTGGGAAACTGAAAACAACCTGAGGAAAAATGCATAGCACTAAATCTCAATTTAGTTGAGAGAACAATGTGGATGCATCCATGGAATTAGCAAGGGTCAAACAGATTCTAATGAGATTTAACCTCTCCTGGAGGTCCAAGTGGATCAGTCCCAGAGAAGATGGGTAAATAAATGTGAATTATAAAACGTGAAAATTGAAAGCCAGATTGATCTAGTGGTTAAGGCGCCAGGTTAAAAAGCAAGATATAGTTTAGTTTAGTTTAGTTTAATTTATTTGATTTATATACTGCCCTACTCCCGAAGGACTCAGGGCGGTGAACAGCCACAAGATAAAAACACATAAATACAAAATTTTAAAACAGAATAAAACCGAATTCAACAATTTGGCCAAAGACAGATTTAAAATACACCAATAAATTAAAAACAAATTAAAATTTGCATTTAAAAAGGGAAAAATTAGGCCAGGCCAGCCTGATGGAATAAAAAGGTCTTGAGAGCGCGGCGGAAGGTGTATAGATCCGGGATCCTCCGTATCTCCAGGGAAGCTCATTCCAGATAGTAGGTGCCCCCACAGAGAAGGCTTTCCCCCTGGGGGCCGCCAGTCGACATTGTTTGGCTGATGGCACCCAGAGGAGCCCCACTCTATGAGAGCGTACTGGCCAGTGGGAGGCTACTAATGGCAGCAGGCCTTAGTGAGCCTGCCTTAGCCATAAAAACCAACTGGGTGACTTTGGGCCAGTCACTCTCTTAGTGCAACCAACCTCATAGGTGTTGAGCCATCTATCTGCTGCTGCTAACGGAACTCGACAATGACTGCTGGAAACGGCGTGTGTGTGTGTGATCGGGAGGGGGTAGTCGCACGTCACGGGTGTTGGTGATGGGTTTTGGGGCGTGGATAGGGCTCTGCTTGCACGATGATGGGCAGAGCATGATTGCGTGGGACGATGGGTGTGGGACTGATAGGGTTAACAGATCCAGGCTGACATCAGCACGGGATGCCCCTGGAAGCCAGAAAGGTGGAAATGGATGCCGGCTTCTCAGCACGCTATTTAAACAGCGCTAAACGCCGATGCGGGAACTCTGACTTGATTGCTGTTAGCATATCGGTAGCAAGCTGTTGCTATTAGCTGCAAATAAACCATCTTCGAACCACCACCCAAGCATGTTTCTTTGTGGAATTGCTCTGGCAGCCAGCGTTGCCGAGAATAGGATTGTGGGGAAAATAGAAGGGGTTTAGTATTATCAGCAAAGCAGTCTAAAGTAAAGTCACACAGTTAAATTTTAAATATTAGGTTAGTTCAAGGGTATCCAACTTTAAGAAATATGGACTTCAGTTCCCAGAATTCCTCAGTCAGCCATGCTTGAGTTAGTTATTAGACTACTTATTCATGCATGGCCACCACCAGACAGATACACCATACATATTCACACATACTGTACATATAAACATGTTTGCATGTATTGATCAGAAATGTATGAATTTATAGTAGATAAATATATGGAATGAATATAATGGTAGATAAATGTATAACTTGACCATCATTAAGTGTTGTACTTTATGATTCTTGATGAATGTATTTTTTCTTTTATGTACACTGAGAGCGTATGCACCAAGGCAAATTCCTTGTGTGTCCAATCACACTTGGCCAATAAAAAATTCTATTCTATTCTATTCTATTCTATTCTATTCTATTCTATTCTATTCTATTCTATTCTATTCTATTCTATTCTATTCTATTCTATTCTATCATGGCATTTTCTGTCAATATAATTGGGCAGTGTTTCGTATCCATAATAAAAATGAGCCAAGTGATGAAGCAATATAGCTTGCTTTGGTGGTGCTATAATTACAGGCTTTCCCCTAATCAGTAGCTTGACTACATACAGTAGCTGTAAGATAGTCAACTAGATGCAAATATATAGCAATTCTGTTTTCAGACTGATTTAATTTTGGTATGCATACTCACATTGCCATCAGCCAAATTAATTGCAGTTGAAGCAGGAGTGCAGAGATTTCATTTCATTTTATCAGCAAGAAAATAGGCCTTCAAACATATCTTTAAAACTTGGCTGATGAGAGGCATCAATTTTAGAATGAATCACACTGAGAGTGCTTTAAAAGTCTCTGTTGTAGAGAATATCTGCAGCTAAATACCTATTCACTTGACAACTTTATAAAATTTAGAAGCTAGGATCAAGCCAGTGACTGGTGGTCACAGGTGACTCACAGTGAACCAAAATGGTAATTATAAGCAAATTGTATTGCTCTGGTCTTTTCTATTAAAATAATTTCCCAGTTTGAGTTAGTGCGACAATTCTTTTTTGTATGTTAGAGATCTAATGTGGCATATACATTCTTGGGCCTGATCTCGGTAGGAATTCAAAATTCAATTAGCCATTTGGACATTCATAACAATTTTCCTGGTAGGTGAGTGGGGGGGGGGAGACACACTGATTGAATTAGGCATTTAAAATTATCAACTACCTCAGGAAGAAAATGAAATGGATGCAAAGATGCAGACACTTGAATAGCCAAGGGCTGCTAAGCCAGATATTCATATACACCAAAGGTCTTCAAACTTGGCAACTTTAAGACTTGTGGACTTCAACTCCCAGAATTCTTAAAGCTGCCAAGTTTGAAGATCTCTGATACACACACATATTCTCTCACACACCATATGTATATGTATATGCATATATATATCTTTATGTCTGTCTATTTCTATGCATCTCACATATAGTCTTGAGAAATACCCAGAATAAAAAAAAAAAATCCCCAGAAGGTATCTTTCTTATTTTATGCAAATACCAGTTTCATAGATGGGATTTTCCTCAGAGATGCAGCAAAGGGAGGCAAAATTTAAATCCTTTCACCATGCCTGCTATGGTATTAGTAACAATAGACGTTTCTGATCTTGTTTCCCTGTAGGAAAATAAGAAGAAACCTGTACATCAGCCACCTATCTAACTGCGACCTTCTGCAGAAAATTCTATTTCTTAGCTGACATTTAGTTGATTGTATTTTGGTCACCCAGGTATTGTATTTTTGAAGCAGAAACTGTAGATGGGGTTTGTGGTCCTGGCACAGTGTTAGATCATCGTTTTTCAAAGGAGGTTTACAGAAGGGAGCTATATAAGTGTGTTTATAAGTTTTTATATTCACTGATGGCTTTCAAACGAAGGCTGGATAACCATTTATCTGAAATAATATAGGGTCTCCTACTCATCAGGGGGTTGGACTAGAAGACTTCCGAGGTTCCTTCCAACTCTATTTCTATGTTCTATGTTTTAAGTGTGTTGTTCCTATATCTCCAATAGGAAAAGCATTTTTTTCTCTCCTGTATTGAATGTATACCATTTTTAAATCATTGTCATTTTCAAATGGTAAATATTAGGGAATGAGATACTTTATCTTAGTAACAGATATGATATTTCCCTTAAAGTGAAATTCTTCTGGCAGATAGACCAGAATTGGGAGGGGAGGGGAAAGCAGATGCCAGGGGATTGACAGCATAGTGACACTTGTGCCATTTTCGTGACAGAACAAATTAATACCTGCCAGCAAATGCCCTCTCTGTGGAAAGTGTTACCATACCCTGCTGAGCTGCATAATAATATCAGTCTACCCTACAGATGGGATAAGGCCCCATGGCTATCACAGAGAGATGGACAAACAAGAAAAGGGAAAATATAAAAGGTAAAACTAATGTTTGTGTAAATGGTTCCTGATTTCAATGCTGGTGGGTTTGTAAAGCAAAGGCATGAACCAAGATATCAGTTACACTAACTGCAGTGGATTATTATTAAAATGTAGGAAATTATTTTATTTTATTTATTTATTAATCAAATTTATATGGCCCCCCCATCTCATGCAAAGTGACTCTGGACAGCGTACAACTATAAACAAATACAATAACAATTGTCGCACGTGCTCTAACAGAAACACACTTAACTGCTAGTTCCACTGCATTTTGCATCAGCTGAAATTTCCAGATACTCCAGATTCATCCCCATGTAGGGTGCATAGCAGGGATGAGTTCTACTTACCTTTACTACTTACCTTTACTACCGGTTCGCAACAGGAAGCTTCTGTGCATGCGCAGATCGCCGATGATGACATCTGGGGTGGTGGACGGAGCCTTCTGCCAGTTTTACTACCGGTTCTTGCGAACCGGTCCGAACAGGGGGCAACCCACCACTGGTACATAGCAATGGGGAGGTGACCCGGATATGAGTGACTGTGAATGGGATCTGTTGATCCAAGAACAGGCACAACTGACACGCAATACGTAGTTATGCAAAGGCCCTCCTAGCCATGACTGCTACCGGGTCCTGAGCAAGAGTTGTAGTCCAGGAGGACCTCCAGAATGTGCATAGTGTCTGTTTGGGGCAGCACAACCTCATCCAGCAACAAAAATGGAGAATTTTGTCTTGACTATGAGCATTCACAATCTGCTTTTTGCTTCTGATAACTGTATAATATATTCTTGAGTTGGCATGGGCTTTGTATTGAAGAAATAATACATATCTAATACCTGCCATCGTACACAATGAAACAGGACAGCCCTGTGAGAGAAACTGTGTTTTCATCATACAAATTAGGAAGTTCCTGAATCTTGTATTACTGAACCACAAAAGTTCAAGAAAGGACTTCATATAATATAATATAAAATGTAAAAATGCTAGAATACTGAATTTCAATTACTTTTAATATTTTAACAAATGTAAGTAGAATATTGCACAAACATTACTGCTATGACAGTACATTTATATTTTACGCTCGTGATAGTTCTACTGGAGTATGCAGAGCTGATAAGTGTGCTTATATGAAAACCAAAGTCTTTTCTGCATTAGTCACAAAGAAAAGCTTATTTCCAATTTATCAGTCAAACGGTACCATTAACCAAGCACTTCATACATTTTTAAGGAAGAAAGCAGACCATCAGCTTCCTGCTGAATTCAAGCTGTTTACTATGTTCAGAGAGATCAAAATGCTTTTTATGATGGATCACTCTGAAATGCTGTGCCCTTTCCAAGGAAGCAGATGCCATACCATTTAACATAACTTGTGCTTTGATTAGGGAAATTGCTATGATTCTTTGACTGAGCATGCAGCCCACTGTTACTGCACCTCTTTCTGCTGGGTGAGAGCTGTAATAAATGATTGCTTTTTAATTAGCATTCCCAGAGGTTAACGAAAGATGAGTCATTTGTCGAAAGCAATTCAGTAAATGTGGAAATATGCTAGGTAAAAATTGTGCTTTTAATGTAAGTAATGAAGAAGAAATATAATTTTGTTTTCAAGGAAAGATTAATAAGAATTAAAAATTAAGGCACTCTTGGGAATAATACATCTTGGCAAATTATTTTTGATTTTTTTTTTTGGTCATAACCAAAATGCTATTTTGGGTTGAAAGACTGATACCAGTGAAATCATAAATCAATCAAAGTAATGTTCATGCAATACACGGAAAGTTTTGAGTTACATTTTATGTCATGGTAAATGCCTAACTGTATTGCCACTCTGGACACATAGCTCTGTAAGGGTTAACTAACCACATATCCCATCACTCCCATAGCCACTCCTTACCTCCTAGCCCCTCCTCCTGGGTATAATAGCTCTCACCACGAGGTATTCGGGTTGTTCCAGATGTGTACCTGAAAGAGAAAGGTCCAAGGTCAGTGACCTCTGGCTCCACAAGGCCTAAGATTCATAGGCCTGCAATAAAGGAATTTAATTAAGAAAGAGAATTCGTCTTGTGAGTTATTGGGCTAGATCCATCACCATTACATTTTAACAATAAACTGACTTTGTATAAAATAGAACACCACTTGCGGGGGGGGCAAAAGCCCTACTAAGCAGGTATATACAAAAGTATGAAGGCTATTGCTTAAAAGCATTGTAAGCCACCCTGAGTCTCCGGAGAAGGGCGGCATATAAATCAAACTAATAAATAAAATAAAATAAAAATAAATAAATAAATAAACAAATCAATCAATAAATAAAATATAAATGTAAAATGATCACTAAACTGTGTGCCTGTGTATAAAAATCCAGGCATGGAAAAACAAGTGTAACTATGTGGAAAATGGATATAAAATGTTGATCCAAAGTTTGCTTTCTCCTAATCTAAGCTGTATGAAATCCCTACTCACAATGATGTTAAAGGCTTTATCCTGTATGCAGCATTATTTTATTTAACAACATGGCAAAAACATAAAATAGAGAAGGGAAATTAAATAAAACTTGATATGATGTTTGAGCATAAATAAAAGAATATGGACTTCTGGGGTATAATGTACACAAGCACATACGAACTCATGAGCTCATGTTCACGCTCAATTTCCAAAGAAAAAACTAAAAATTACTATTAATCTTCAACCCCGAATATCTGGCTAACACAATATAAAATATTAATTAAAAAAATCATAGGCTTTAATGAATTAAATCAATACTAGAAATCTCATTTTTCACGTAATGGAAATATAGACTCTAAATTTCACAAATTCTATATGATGTGGGGTGGAGGTGGTGCTAGAATAGTTTTCACTAATTACTAAATTATCTTTTTAAAATTTTCTTTTTACATACAAAAAGTGTATGTATGTGCAGTATACCGGTATATATATATAGAGAATAAATTTATTCTTCTTCCACTGAAATACTGTAATGGAATGTGAGAATAACCTGGAGAGACAAAAGAAAGGGTCAGAATTAGACAAATATCCATTATTGCATGTCTATTACTTCATTCAAATCCTGCATTCATTTAATTATACAATGTTTGATCTATTCAGATTCTTGACTTGTGTTCTACTTATAGTTCATACATTAAATTCAGTAGATGTTCAAAACTATATAAGATTTTCAATTTATACCAATTATTTCAATATTTATCCTTGTTTCTGCTATTCTTTTAGTGCTATATTGCTTATTTGAAGCTACTGAAATCAGTCAAGTAGTTTAGGGCATTGTGAAATAAGAGATTCCACTGATTTTATTTTTAGAGCTTTAACAAGTTAACAAGCTTTGTAATCAGGATAAATTATTAACTTTCCAGTGGACACATTTTGTGATATTTTCTTTTCATAAAAAAAGACATTTATAATGATGCTAGGGGTGCACAGCTTGAATTTTCCCTGTATTGTCTCTGATATTCAGTACACTACTTATTATTATATGGTCACTTATTAATGGCTTATTCATATCAACCAAAGTATAATTATGTAAACATCTGAAAATCCAGCTCATTCCATAGAAATAACGAAGTCATAAGAAAATATATGGAAAGAGCCATGAAGCTGACCTTGGAGAACTTATGCAGTGTTGATGGTTACCTTGTGAGCTGGGGGTGAAATGGAGAACATGTGAATGAGAACATGGCCTCTACAGAATGGTTAGAGGAACATAATAATAACCCGTCAGAAAAAAAGCAGAATGCATATTTAGCTTGGGTGTAATAAGAATGATACCATACAGCCTATGTCTCTCAATAATTAAAAACTATATTTGTCTATTTTTGCCTTAAATAAAATATAGATGATTTAACAATTCATTGGCAGCTACTCATTTTTAAACAAATAATAGTTGCATGCGCTTATATTTCAGTTAGAAAATTCAATTAGATCAAATAATATCTGTAAAGGGTAGTGAGTTATTAATATGCGAGAGAAAATTGACCTTATATAGCTTCCAAAGAAACAAGATTCCCCCCCCCCCAGTATTGAAAATTACAGAGGTTGGATATCTCGTATTTGACTAGAATACTAAAAGATTTTTAATTGCATAGGCAATATTGATATAATGTTAGTTACATTGCTCTACTGCATATAGGTTTTATATATTGTATATAAGATCATGTTATAAGTCATTTAATAATATGTACTTTGCAGTTTACATTTAATTTTAGTTCTTAATCAACAAGCCATCTGAAACACATAGAATAAAAAACGCAGCCCAAAAGTTTTGTGTGTGTGTGTGCATGCATGCAGTTGTATACCATTTTTCTTGATTATGCTCATATTGCTGTTTAGAAACAGAAGATGGCTAATGTAGATATGTGGCCATGCTGTTTCATCTTGGCTTTGCATCAGCCATTTTTAACACTCTGTATTTAGAAAACTATCTCGGCTAACACTGTAATTTAGGCTTCTAATCCATATTTTGTTTGTTTTGAGCATAGCGCCAAAACTTGGAAAAGAAGAGCAGACTGGAATTGATGGAGCACCTAAAATTATTTATTGCCTTGCCAGTTTCCTACTTCTTTATGGCAAAATGAAGCTTGAAAGATTCCTAAAGTCAAATATAATCCATTCCCTACCTTCTATTTTCTAAGCCAGGGGTCTCCAACCTTGGCAACTTGAAGTCCGCAAGTCGTAAAGTTGCCAAAGTTGGAGACCCCTGTTCTAAGCTTGCAAAGATATCCATAAAATACTCAGATGTATTTAGCACTTTTGAAAATAATTTTAACCATTTAATGAACAAGACATTTTACCCATATTTTTTTCAAAGGAAAAATTAAACTCACATTGTTTGGCTTTTGTTCTGAAGGCAATTAAGTATATATTTTGTATTTGAATATCCAAACTGCCATAGAGATTGCGTTGTGAGGCAGGGAAATAAAAACAAAGAAAGCAGCACCCTCCGCCTCCTCTCTAAAATAAGGCACATCCTTGATATAAGAGATGTGAAAGACTAACAGGCAATACATCTGGCCATGAGACTGAATTCCATTCATAAAAGCTAAACTCATCTCACAATTGTATCTGCATTTGTTATTAGAAATAATCAAATTAATACCAAAATATCTGCAAATGTCTAGTGCTCTGAAATGTTAAAGTCTAGTCGTACAACTCTTCCCCTGAAAAACAAGAAGAAGAAGAAAAAGAGAGAGAGAGAGAGAGAGAGAGAGAGAGAGAGAGAGAGAGAGAGAGAAACTGTTAGTCTCAGATTACAGTCATGTAGACCAAAAAGATAACAGCATTGCCAAAAAGGCATTAAGAGTTGTAAACCTAATCTTGCGAAGCTTTTTCTCCGGTAACATTGTACTGCAAACTAAGGCATACAAAACCTTTGCTAGACCAATTCTTGAATACAGCTCGTCTGTCTGGAATCCGCACTGTATATCAGATATTAATACAATTGAGCGAGTACAGAGGTATTTCATGAGAAGAGTACTCCACTCCTCTGCTTGCAACAAAATACCTTATGCCACCAGGCTTGAAATTTTAGGCTTGGACAACCTAGAACTACGCTGCCTACGGTCTTGTTACAGAAAAGAGACCACACCAGGTCTTTATCGAAAGGAAATTCTCGTTCAACAATGTCACGTAGGCACGTAGGCATTGAGAGCAAGGACTTAATCCCATCAGTCCACTTTAGTCTGACCTAAGCGTAGTACACAAAATTATCCGCTACAACGTCCTACCTGTCAATGACTACTTCAGCTTCAACCACAATAATACATCATCACACAGTAGATACAAATTCAAGGTAAACCGCTCCAAACTCAAAAATACGACTTCAGCAACAGAGTGGTCAATGCCTGGAATGCACTACCTGACTCTGTGGTTTCACCCCCAAACCCCCACAACTTTAACCTTAGACTGTCTACTGTTGACCTCACCCCATTCCTAAGAGGTCTGTAAGGGGCGTGCATAAGCCTTCTGTCCCTGTCCTACTGTCCCCATTTATTCGGACCCATTTCGTGTATTAACATCAGTGTTGGGTTGTCCCCGTTTCGCACCAGTTCTATAGAACCGGTAGTAAAACTGGCGGGTGGCTCCGCCCACTGACCCCGATGTCATCAAAATGCTTCTGCGCATGCGTGCTGCCCCGCTGCAAACTGGTAGTAAAGGTAAGTAGAAACCACCCCTGATTAACATCTATGTTTATACTTATTCCTGTTATCTCGTACATGTTTGACAAACTAGAGAGAGAAGGAGATTACATTTTCAGATTACATTCATGTAGACCAAAAAAGAAAAAAAGAAAACATCTTCCAGCTCAGGAAACCTAAGAGCAGAAGGCTCTATGTTGTCATTTGTCTACGATTACTCACACAGGAATCTCACCTTGCACAAAAGAAACAGAGAGTTTATGCATAAATTAAGAAATTATCACTATCTCTAATAATGTTGGAGATTATACAGAGGAATGTTATAGCAGTAAATCTGCTTTTACAGTGGCTTCTATAAATCATTATAGGTGAAGACAGTTGTTTTTCAGAATAGAACAGAATAGAATAGAATTTTTTATTGGCCAAGTGTGATCGGACACACACAAGGAATTTGTCTTGGTGCATACGCTCTCAGTGTACATAAAATAAAAGATACATTCATCAAGAATCATAAGGTACAACACTTAATGATATTCTAACTTAATTCAGTTCTAACAAAACTATTTATTACACTTTCTTAGATTATTATAGAAGTTTATTATTCAGAGAAAGGAAAGCCTGTTGCTTTTTCTCTACTAGCCCTCAAATATTAAAAATAAACTGTAAGGATTCCAAGATTGTGCCTCAATGCTGCCACCTTGTGAGTTCAGCAAAATAAGACTGAATTTAGGAATGTTTGTTCTCACGGTCTGTATCATTTCATTAAAAATACAGTAGCTTTATAAATAAAAATAAAATCAAAGGACTATAGGTAGTCTTTGACTTACGACCACATTTGAGCCCAAAATTTATGTTAAGAAAGTTTTGCCCCATTTTATGACCTTACTTTCAGTTGTTAAGTAAATCATGCAGTTGTTAAGTTAGTAACATGATTGGTAAGTGAATCTGGCTTCCGCATTGACTTTGCTTGTCAGGAGGTTACAAAAGTTGATCACATGACTCCAGAGCACTGCAACCATCATAAATATGAACCAGTTGCCAAGTATCTGAATTTTGATTACATGGCCATGGTGATGCTACAATGGTTGTGAGTGTGAAAAATAGTCATAAGTCACTTTTTCCAGTGCTGTTGTAACTTTGAACAGTCACTAAACAAACTGTTGTAAACCGAGGACTACCTGTACTTCTAGCTATCACTTGTGGTACCATGCTGATTCTGCTTGACTCTGATGACAATTTATATTGCCTTCATCATCAAAATGCAGCAATACAAAATGCATGTATACTTTGTCAGCTCTTTGAAATAGTTCAAACAAGAAACCAAAACCACGAATGCGGACACTATTTTTATTGTAAGGTTACAGTAACAAATTCTTGCAAGTCTGAAGCACTTCTCTCCTTCTTTGCCTTTATTTTTCAGAGAACTAGGCAAGGTCTCGTCTTGAGATACTTTCTCCACTCCCATCCCTTTTGTAGCGGAGATATCTCTTGCCTGGGTGTTGATCCTATCTGCCAGGATATTCTGGCAACCCATTGCACACTTTGCTGATATATCAGTAAAGAAATGCAGGCCATCTTGCCTGGATGTATAAATCCTGCAATTTGGACTTGAGGAATTTATATTTAATTTAGCTTAGGTATTTTGTGAACTGCCATGGTGTTTCTGGGACTGTTGGGGGTCATAATCAGATGTAAACAATAGGTGCCTTGCACCATTTGGCCCAACCTGGTTCCTTTCAGCTTTTTGGGAAGACAATCCTCAAAATCTTCAGCTGGTACATTTACTCAGAATTCTGAGACTAGAATACCATTATTGTTATTAATTATTTATTTAATTTTATTTATATCCTGCCTTTATTATTTTTATAAATAACTCAAAGCAAATATATCTAATACTCCTCCTATTTTCCCCAAAACAACAACCCTGCAAGGTGAGTAGAGTGATTGGCCCAAAGTCAGCCTGCTGGCTTTCATGCCTAAAGTAGAATGAGAACTCACAGTCTCCTGGTTTCTAGCGTGGTGCCTTAATCATTCAACCAAACTGGTTTATATCTGAAGTTGCCTTTCATTACTAATATTACTATTATAAGTATTTTATTGCTAATATTACTATTATTAGTAATATTATAGTATTATCATTATTACTATAATTACTATTCCTAGCTAGCTGAGCTCTTTAGCAAGATATATAAAGCCTTGTATGATTTTTACCCCCCAACACTAGAACCCTCTGACAATTTTCAAAGTAATATAGCCACTGTTTTTTTGAGCTACTTTTCTTTATTGACTTCTGGGTGTGTTTTTCTGCTATAGTTTGAAAGAAGTCTTTGTTTTATGTTGCCTCAATTTATTGATCACTTTGCAGAGAAAGGAACACCCTTCAGTTGGAATAGTAGTTGATTTGATAGCTAAGAGCTCATAAGACTTTATTAACTATATACCACTAAAATTCTTGTGTCTGTTTGTTTATAACCATTTGGGTGAAATTTGAAGGTATGTGGCAACAATTATGGAACCAAGATAAATCAAATGGGCTAATTTACAGAATGCCTGGGACCCACAACTTCCTTGGGAATGAACTTTGGGAAAGTTGTAGCCGCTTCAGCACGGCTGCCCTGATGCTGCTTTGGTGCTACTGCTGTGCTATGATGATCATCTATGATTCTAAGTTCCAATGCTCCCTAACAACTTTCTAGAAATCAGTGGGCAACCCAGCAGCAATTATAAAGTCAATCGTGGTTGCTGATGCTCCCTGCAGCCTTCCCAATAGGAAAGTCTCTGCTTTGGGAAGCTTGCAGGGAAAAAGTCAATAAAACCCCACCCACAACCTATTGTTTCATTGTCCACTCAAGATTTAATCAGATTTACATGTTCTGCAGTTCACACAGGATTATGCCAATATCAAATGACATATATTTATTAGGACAGCATATATTTTTGTTTATGGAATCGTAATTTTTTGGCCGCACAATTTCCAATAAAATCTTGCATTAGCTTCTATGGGGAATGTCATTGAAAAACCTTTCTTGTAAGACAGCCAGTTCTACAAACATTTTTCATAAAAAATAGGAAAAACTTCAATTCATTGTAGTTTAAAATGATGCAGTTAGTAACGAGACAGATGAATAATTACTAGCAGATAAGAATATTATTACAAAGAGTCTATTTTCTTATAAAACTGTTTTGGTATTTTATAAAAATATTTAACCTTGGCAGGTTTCCATTAATGTTTTACTGTCAAGAACTACAATATCCAGATCGGAAACTAGCTATCTATATTGGTCTATTGCTGAAATATTTATAATAAATATTTGCAATGCCTTTAAAAAAATCTAGCACAAGCTTTCTTCAAAAAATCCACGTCATTTCCTTTTTTTAAAAAAAACGTCAGATTTTGGGTTTGAAATTATAAAACCCGAAGTATAACAGATCAAGAAGCATCAGAATTATGGACGATTTGTCAAGACACTTCTTGTGAAATGCTTTAGTTAAGTACATTGTTTATGTAATGTGTGAAGTTGTCTTAGATGGTGACTCTATTCTAAGTATAGTAAGAAGAAGAAAGAGAACAGCAGCTAGATCCTCAAATCATGTATATCATGCCTATAGGTAATCCAAATAAATCAATGCAACATTGAATCAGTACAGTGCTGATACTTAATTAGGTCAATATAGCAGTGGTGTCCTAAATTTGCTTTTTCAAAAGGCAACTGGATTTTGTTTTTCCTTGAAGATACTTCATTTCTCACCCAAGAAGCTTCTCCAGTTCTCATTCTGAAGAACTAAAGAAGAGAACTGAAGAAGCTTCTTGGATGAGAATCGAAATGTCTTCAAGGAAAAACAAAGTCCAGTTGCCTTTTGAAAAAACACCTTTGGGACAACCATAAACTG